TGTTGCTTAGTATATCTTCCCAGCTTATATCGGTTAGGACTTGGTTTACTTGGTCCCACTTTATGTTTTTGTTATTGAAGTTGAATTTGGTGAATGCTCCCTCGTGACTAATCTCATTATGTCGGTCTGGGGCTCCGCGCATACATGATTGAACCTCAATTATGTTGTGATCTGAGTATATTGTTTTTGATATGGTGACATTTCTTATCAGATCATCATTGTTAGTGAAGATGAGGTCTAGTGTATTCTCCAGTCTAGTAGGCTCTATTATTTGCTGGTTTAAATTGAATTTTGTGCAGAGATTTAAAAGCTCGCGTGAGTGTGAGTTTTCATCAGAGCTGCCTCCTGGTGTTATTTCTGCAACAATATTATTTGCTATATTCCTCCATATTAGGTGCCTTAAGTTGAACTCCCCCAGGAGCAGGATGTTGGGTGCAGGAGCTGGAAGATTTTCCAGACAGTGGTCAATTTTTAACAGCTGTTCCTGGAATTGCTGGGATGTTGCATCCGGAGGCTTGTAGACTACCACAATGACTAGGTTTTGGTTCTCGACCTTTACTGCTAAAACTTCCACTACATCATTTGAGGCATTTAGCAGTTCTGTGCAAACAAGTGACTCTGCAATGTACAGGCCAACCCCCCCCCCCCTTTTTGCCTGTTCACTCTGTCACATCTGTATAGGTTGTAACCTGGGATCCATATTTCGTTGTCCAAGTGATCCTTTATGTGGGTCTCAGTGAAAGCCGCGAACATTGCCTTTGCCTCTGCAAGCAGTCCACGGCTGAAAGGTATTTTGTTGTTTGTTGCTGGCTTTAGACCCTGTATATTTGCCAAGAAGAATGTTATCGGACTGGTGGTATTGTTGGTACTGGGGGGGGATTTTTTTTCCGGCATTAGTATCTGTATCTGTTGGTTTGGAGTGGAGGCCATCGACTGTGGTTCCACTCCAGGAATGACTGGATTTGGTGTACAATTTCTGCCATTTCCTGCCAGTCTTTTTTCCTTCCTGGCACTAAAAAACCTCTCCCTCTTGAGTGGCTGTGGTTACCCAGGTTTTCCCATGGTCTGGATGTTTTGTATCTTTTTGTCCCCTTTAGATGGTATGCCTGGCAATTTAAGTTATAGCACAGTCTTTCCTGTACTGAAGAGGTACACAGTTCAGGGTGAAAAAGCTTACAGGAAGGGAGTTTGCATTTTCCTGTTGTCATATGGGCATGGCATTTTCTAGGGTGGTCATAGTTGCACGTCCCATCTGTTTTTCCAGATTTCCCATGCCAGCAGATACCGAGTGCATAGTATGTGCACAGGCTTGGTTTCCGTTTGCCTTGTGTTTCTGTGACTGTATTCCCTGTTGGTGCATGTTTCCCTGTCTTACTTCTATCCTCCCTAGCACCAACAATGGAGCTCCCACCAGTTGTTTTTGGTAATATATCCTCACTATTGCTAGTGGAGTCCTCTTGTTTGCTATTTCCTGCGGTATTTCTAGTTTGCAATATTGGTTTTATCTTATCTTTGACTACACGTGTTTCCCTACTATGGCTCCTGTCCCCTATGAGGTCATTTATATGTATTCCTTCCTGCGTATAATTCCCGACTACCTGGACAAAATCTCCAGCTTCACCATTACTGTCTCCCAGGACAGCATCTCCATCTTCACCATTACTGTCTCCCAGGACAGCATCTCCAGCTTCACCATTACTGTCTCCCAGGACAGCACCTCCAGCTTCACCATTACTGTCTCCCAGGACAGCACTATCAGCCCCACATTTACTGACTACCAGGACATCATCTCTTGCCTTACAGTTTCTGACTACATGGCCAGTATCAAGGGCAGTACCATTCAGCCCAGACTTTTTATGTTCCCATCTGTTGTAGAAAGCTTCCAGGTTTTCTATGAAAGCAGCTTTGATGTTGACCTCTTTTAATACCCTTGTGATTTTAGTCCACAGATTTATCTCATTTGGGCATACCCAAAAACACTTCCCTGCTTTAATACTGCTTGTAGCTAGTTCTTGGATATCTGCACAAGGGGCGTGACTCCAACTTCCACAAAAATGACAATTTATGCATGTGGAAGCCCGTTTGTTTGACTGACCACAGACTACACACAGCTTCATAATGATTTGAATGGTTGATTTACTGCAATTCTACTAGCAACCTCTTGGATATTCTATTAATAACCTCCTTAAATGAAGCTCTAGCTATTTGTATTTCTGTTTCTAACTGTTTTTGTATATTGGACAGCTTACCGTGCACGTTCCTGGTATGCATTAACATTTAGTAAGTAAACTGCCCCTTGAATCGAATACCTTTAACACACATTCCAATAAGTTTAAAACTTACTACAGTAATAAAGGAGTCGTCCCAAACAGTTGCCAAATAGTAGGTGTATCTTATGACTTTGTTCGAAAAAGAAATAAGTTAACTTCAGCTAAAAGTACCGGGACAGATAACATCTCAGTCAAATTCGGAGGGGTTCAAGGAGGCCAAAACTACTCCTTTCTTCAAGAAAAATAGCAGGTGTGACGTCAGTAACTATAAGTTGCTGACGTCAATATACTGTTAATATACTCAGTGTGATGTCCATAATTCTAGAGAAGGCGATGTATTGTCAACTAGTTAACTATCTTAATAACAAAAACATTCTCCATAGTTACCAATCAGGTTTCAGGAGATCTTGCTGTACCGACACCTCCCTAGTTAATCTGATGGACTACCTGAGAACTCAAATGTCGCTAGGAAATCTCACAGGTATGGTGACCTTAGACTTGCAAAATGCCTTCGATACGGTCACCCTTAATATATTATGTAAGATGCAAAACAACCACGGGGGGAGTAGAATGTTGTTTTGCATCTTGTATCGCTTGATTTGCGATATTTGCTTAATATTATGCAAGAAACTACAAGCTATCGGCATATGTTCTGTAGACTGGTTTAAGTCCTACCTGAGCAACAGGAAACAAACTGTCAAGATCAACAACATAGCATCAGAACCCATCTATTTATTTATTTATTTTATGTCTTTGCAAACAGTACATTGAGATTTTGTATTTACAATAGTGGGTTGCAGTGCAAAGAGAGCCTCTATTATGCCTAGGCATTATGAGCCAACTTAACATTATTGGCTTACAGTCTACTTAACACTAGGAAGTATATCATAGTTGTACAGTAGGATAGTAATTATTTCATAGTTGTACAGTAGATTATTAATTATAAGTGAATTAAATTTGTATAAGACCTGTGGGGTTCCCCTAGGTAGTATTCTGGGTTGCTTACTGTTCCTGTGTTATGTAAATGACACGCGCATCAGTGTCAAGTGTAAACTTCTGTTGTATGCACACTACAGAGCTCTGTTAGTGTCAGGTAAAGACCCACAAGATATTGTTATTGTACTATTACTAGAACTAGAGTCCTGCAGCAAGTGGTTAGTGAACAACAAACTATCGTTACACCTCTGGAAAACAAAAGTCATATTCTTTGTCTCGAAAAATAAACTGAAAATGGTGAATAATTTTAATGTCCAGTGTAATGGGGAACTCATCGCTTCAGTATCTTCAGTGAAATATCTAGGAATCCCCTTTGACCCAAACATGTCAGGAGAATTGATAGGGGAACAGTGTAGTAAAGAAAGCGAATACCAGACTTAAGTTCCTCTATGGACAGGCCGTGGCCGGACAGGCACAGTGTCTACCTACTGAGGCTCGCAGGACCGACCGTATGTCTAGCTCTTATACAATTCCATATAAATTATTCTTGCTCGTCTTGGTACTCTGCCTTAACCAAAAACCGAAAGACAGGTTACAAATCACCCAGAACAAAATGGTGAGATTCGTCCTGGACTAAGTAAGTAAGTAAGTAAGTAAATTTATTCAGGTATACACAATACAGTTACATAGAATTATCATACATAGCAGCATATGTGTAGAGAACCTAGGATAACCCAAAAAAGTCAGACAGAGTGACTTATTTCCATTGGGGACCTGGGTCCAAGAGAGTATGTAGGACAGGATGAATTACGACAACTGAATATGCTAAATGATGAAGACAGAGTAAAGCAACTGAAGTTCAGTTACGTTATAAAATTGCTCACAAGCAGTGTCCAGAATATCTTGCTGCTAAATAATTTGTCAGTACTGGGAACCAAAAGTATGGTACAAGGGAAAGGGAACACAATTGTGTAGTACCCACAATAGGTGGTCAGGCTTCAAACGCCTTTTATTGTACAGTAGTAAATGAGTGGAACGGACTGCCTACATGTCAAAGTCTGTCCTAGCATGAGCCAGTTCAGGAAGAAAACTCAAAGGTACCTAATGAATAAAGCTATAGAAAGGGAGGAGAGTGATGCCTTGTATAGCCAATATTCGTGTACTTATTATTGTAAATTGATCCTCTTTAATGTTAATACAAATAACTCAGTTTACCTTATTCCTAGTATATCACCTTTTATTCTAATTGGTTCTCACACAGTTCAATTTCTTAGTTGTTTTAACTTTTAAGGTTTAAATAATAAGATACTACAAGGACCCCCAGTGGAAATAAGTCACTTTTCATGACTCTTTTTGGGGGATTATCCTAGGTAATTTATACAAATGTTACTATGTATGATAATTTGTGCACCTATAGTGGCACGTATGAGGGGCCCCATCTTCTGGTGGCAAAAGCTCTCGCTTCACACGCTGAGGCCCGGGTTCGATTCCCGGTGAGGTGAAAACATTCGACGCGTTCCCTTACACCTGTTGTCCTGTTCACCTAGCAGCAAGTAGGTACTTGTTCACCAGGATGCGACCCACTGTTGTGGGTCGCATCCTGGTGAACAAGATTGAGGACCCCAGTGGAAATAACACAGACAGTTCTCGATGACGTACTGACTTTCTTGGGTTATCCTGAGTGGCTATCCCTCCGGGGTTAAAAATCCGAATAAAATCTTATACCAAAATAAAATTAGACCTGGCTGTCAGTGGCCCTGAAACCCAACAGAAGAAGAAGAAGAATGTTAGACCTGGAAGCAGGTGTCCACACTGCTGAGGCTGTCAGCGGCCCTTACAAACCCAACAAGAAAAACAAGTTGTTGATAATAATTGTAGTGAGATCCAGCATCTGCCTTGTTAATTATGGCCAACACTATTTATCTGAAGCCTGACCACAAGCTTCTTAATCCCAACTTTGATGGCTATAAATTATCTTCTGATGCTGACGTGACTGTGTATTCTAAAACACTTAATAAAGATGGTTAGTAATGTTTTCTCAGATTGTGGATAAATTATGCATAATGTGTTCCACCAGTTTGTTTAATAAAGCAGTAATGCACAAAAATTAACTTGAAGTAGTTAGTATAATGTGATAAAGCCTATTTATTAAATAGGTTGTTTTCAATGATTGTTTAATTCTGACTATACCTGGAGGGTCTTTTAGGGGCCAACGCCCCCACAGCCCAGTCCACGACCAGGCCTCGTGGTAGATCAGGGTTTGATCAGCCAGGCTGTTACTGCTGGCCACATGCAAACCAATGTACGAACCACAGCCCAGTTGATCGGGTACTAACTTGACGTGTCTGTCCAGCGCCTTCTTGAAGACAGCCAAGAGTCTATGTATGCTGGGAGGTAGTTGAATAGTCTTGGGCTCCTGACACTTATTGTGTTGTCTCTTGTCATACTCATGGCGCCCCTGCTTTTCATTGGAGGGCATTGCCTGCCAAGTCTTTTGCTTTTGTAGGGAGTAATTTCCGTGTGCAGATTTGGAACTAGTCCTTGTAAAATTTTCCAAGTGTATGTTATCATGCATCTTTCTTGCCTGCATTCCAAGGAGTACAGGTCAAGGGACTTTGACCTTTCCCAGTAATTTAGGTGCTTTATTGTACTTATACGTGTAGTGAAAGTTCTCTGTATATTTTCCAGGTCTATAATTTTGCCTGCCTTGAAAGGGACTGTTAGTGTATAGCAGTATTCCAATACATATTTAAAAATAAATACAATCTTATGTTTAATCAATACTAATACTGTACCTAATAAATAAAAATAAATAATACACACCTCACATTGGAGAAAGAAAGTTACAACAACGTTTCTGTCCAACTTGTTGATAGTCCAAGTTTTATTTTATTTATTTATTTATTTAATAATTTGAACATACAGAGGTACAAAAAATACAGGTAAGAGCAGCATGCCAAAGCCACTTGTATGCATAGCATTACGGGCAGGCTTAAAATTAACTTAAGATTAACTAAGCAATGATGTAATCAGTGATAAAAATTATTGTAAACAGATAACAATAAAGCACAAATGAGTATTACAAAGACAGGTCATATGGTTGCATGCATTGCTGTACATTCAGTAGAATGGAGTATTCTGTTAGGTAGTGTATTTAAAAAATAACAAAGTTAGATTGGGTCTTAGGTTTAACATTTATGTGGTATAATTATGAGAAACATTTAAGATATACAATTTATAAGGTTCAGTTATTCAGTATTTATTTGGTTTTGGGTGAGTAAGTGATCTTTGAGAAGAGACTTGAATTTATAAACAGGTAGTGTTTCTTTTATATTTACAGGTAATGAATTCCAGATTTTAGGGCCTTTTATGTGCATTGAGTTTTTGCATAGCGTGAGATGGACACGAGGAACATCAAAGAGTGATCTGTGCCTTGTGTTATGGTCATGTGTTCTGTTGAGGTTGGCAAGATGTTTGAGGGGAGGGTTAATATCAGAGTTAAGTGTTCTATGTATGTAATAGGTGCAGTAATAAGTATGGATGTTTTGTATGGTGAGTAGGTTTAGTGTTTTGAATATTGGTGGAGTGTGCTGCCTGTAGTGGGAATTTGTTATTCTGACTGCAGCCTTTTGTTGGATACTTAGTGGTCTGAGATGGTTAATTGTTGTTGAACCCCATGCACAAATCTCCTGTGTGCAGGTTATATGTGTATTGTTCCAGTCATGGTATCGTGCCTTTTTATTCTTAAAATAAGAGAGTACCAAGACTGTCAACAGAAATAAGAGTAAATACTGAATTTATGGTATAAGTGACTTAACTGAAAATTTATACTTAAGACTGAGGTAAGATTGAAGCGCATGCATGATTAATTTTTTATTCATGTTATTGTCATATATGGGTTATACAAGCAAATAATTAATGTATATTGTTTAATTTTACTCATAATCAGTACAGTAGAAATGAAAAGGTGGCCTGTGATGATTTAATCTAGGATAATTTGACAGAGTCTAGTAGGATTCAGTATATTTTCCTAATGGTACAGCACCTCATTTAAACACTAAGTTATGCAATGCTACACTCATAATATTTGTTGATTGATAGTTCTTTTCACCAAGAGAGGATACCAGTTTCATTTCAGATGCTGTTTCCAACACCCTGATATGCTTGCTTTATCTGACCTCTTCCACTATGATCCCACTTTTTGTGAAGACTGCCTTTGAGCTCTTAACTGACCCCTGGTTGTCACAGACTGGGCCAGGGGGCGTTGACCCCCAGAACTCTTTCCAGGTAAACCCCCACCCTCTCAGATGTCTTTCTTTTACACTGCCACTCATCCTCTTCTCTCCCCCCTCTCATTCACCTCTGACTTTCAACACTGTATGACCCTTATGGTTTAGAGCTTACCATAAATATAATAATACAATCATGTGTATTTAATGTATGATTAATCATTGTGAGAGGAGAAATTAAATGGCCTGAACATTAGTGCAGGTAACTGCAGCATCAGACAATGAAGAAATAATGCTTGGAACATTATCCTCCTTGCTTTCCCATGGCACTGCCAAGGAAGCAAGGAGGTGGGTTCCACCACACCATGCTCTTCATCAGATTCCCTCAAAGCTACTAAATAACATCACTAATAATAATAATCCAAAATCTAAACTAAATGTTCAGGGCTCAAGACTGTTCAACAGCCTCCCACCAGGAGTAAGGAAATTACCATTAGACCCCTGGCTGCCCTCAAGAGGGAGCTGGACAGATACCTAAAGTCAGTACCTGATCAGTCAGGCTATGGTTCATACATTGGATGATGTGCAGCCAGCAGTAGCAGCCTGGTTGATCAGGTTGGTCATGGACTGGGCTGCAGGGGCATTGATCCCCAGAACACCCTCCAGGTAGACTCCAGGTTGACATACACAGGAATTTAATTTCAGGATGTGCCACACAATTAAGGGGTTAAACTAAATATTTTGTTATGTAATGCCTAATGTATATTTTTCAGGAGTTGAGAGGAAGATAAGTTACTCAAATAGTTACCTACATACAAGATTAGAAGCCCTTCACAATCACTTCTTCGGAGACCCTTTTCACCCAATGTCTGTTTACTACTTCAGTAGTAGGGGCCATCTAGTGAAGTGTAATTATTCAGAAGTAGGTATTGTAACAGGTGTACTCACCAATATGTGATTGTAAGGGTTGAGTCATAGCTCCTGGCCCCTAGCACTTGCCTTCATAGAGTTTGACTTATTCATTTACTCCTTCAGATGCTTAACTTATTTTACTGTTGTGCTGCTCATAAGGGATGGTATGGATAGCTTAATATACATTTGTTTTTCTCATAAGTGTAAGACTTGATTTTATGTATGCATCACAAAGTAAATACCTGTAATGAATTAAGTACAATTTTTATCAAATTGATTTACTGGGATTTCAACTTTGGCATCATAAAAAAATCCTATTTTAAAACTTGGTAGTTGAACCGAGTATTTAAAACTAACTTAAATGTTCTAACAAGCTTTGCTATAACTTTTGTTTTTAGTTTCAGAAGATTTTCAAGTAGCTGAGGTAATATCTTTTTCAGTTTTTATTAAAATATGTTAGTGTGAATTGCTAGTCTTGCAACACATGTAATTTCAACTTCAGGACTCAAGATTAAGTGTGGGAGAAGTTGTTTGGCAAACAGATTTGAATAAGAACCATGAGGAAGATAATGAAGAAAATGAGGGCTCCAGTGGTCACTATCATGCAAGTGTACATTTTCCATCCTCCGAGATGGCTGTAGTAAACAATGGGCAAGGAAGTCTGCACATCTTGGAGACAGGGGACCGAAAAGTCACCCAGAGCTGGCTGGTAAGAAGTCTTTGAATGTTGAATCTGTTTTATTTTTTGTTTTGAAAATCTTTAATTAGTGTTTTTTCTCTATTGTTGAAGCCCATTACATATTTAAATAGGTTATAATTCTCAATAATAAAGTGCTTAGCTACTTGGCTAGTGGAAATTACCCTTAGTGGTCTTAAATAAGATACCTCATAGCTACCTAGGCACCTGATCTCTGGTTCTTGCACTTCTTGTTTCCACTTTTAATACTGCTTCTCTTACTCCTTCATTTATTCCTCTCTACATTTACCTTTGTCACAATCTAGGCTGCTATTATAGTTAGGAACTTTGTCAAGCTGTTACAAACAATACAGGGACACAGAGGGTATAGGTAGGTAGGTAGTAGTAGTAGTGGTGGTGGTGGTACTAGTAGTAGCAGCAGCAGCAGCAGTGAAGGTAACTCTTGGTTCCTATGTGAGGGCAGGATTTATTGTTTTGAGGGAAACTGTTGCTAATATTTCAAATATGACAGAACTGCTCTTATTCTGTCTTAATAGTGTTAGAAATGGAGATTATGGATGATTCAGGGCATTTACATCTGCAGGAACTGCACCTTAATCACAAGCCTGGCACTGTTTTGGAACAGTCTTTTGAGCTGTTAAGTTTTTTAAAATCTTATTTAACATATGAGTGCTTTATCAATGCTCGACATTTTGAGATCCTACCTTTTGATTGACAGCCGACTCCACTGTGATTTGAGGGGCACTGGTTGTAAGATGCCTACAGTGATTCATCAAAACCTGTACCATATGTGTTGCACTTTTAACCTCATCTAATATCTCAATTTTCTTCATAACACCAAGACTTGAACACTGAAAGTTCTTGCCGCTACCACCATCACTCGCATTCCTCCTGGGTGCCATGGTAACTATGCAGACTTAGGATATGATGATGAGAACATCACAAATCAATTAACACAGAGCTGAGTATGGTATGGGATATGTATGCTTGGAGCACTGAGGCTCGACAGATTGTGTACTATAAGTATGACTAGGCTTTTCCTGTGAAGACAGTGGCCTCAATCACAGGTTGGCTGCCTGTGAGACAAAGGAGAAAGCTTCTGTTGTTCTCCTGCACTCCATATTTTCCCTAAAGTTACACTGTCATTAAAGAGCTTTGTGGAGTTATGATTGAAAAAATGCTCCAATTTTCCAACCATCACATAGTGAAATGTCCAACAAGATTGCATCTTAATCAGTAGTCTGTATATGGAAAAGTACATATTGGCATCTGCCTAAAACTGAGTATCGGTATCAGCAAATAAGTTGCCATCATCCCTTCCCACAGTGTACATTGCAGATAAAGACAGAAAATATCAAAGATTGATAACAAATAACTGAAACATCTACACATTTATTAAAAAAAAAATTGAATTATTCCTCATGAATACACAGGACTTCTACCCCAGATGCTGAAGTAACCATTTTTATATATAATTCCTATTTGCTAAGATGGTATGTTGGGTATAATATAGTATATTTAATAACTTGTTCTTCATACTGATGAATTGCAACACAATGCAAGGGCTCAACTGTAGTAGAGTGTTATGGTATGCACTGAGAGCAATACACTGGCATCTTTTGTATCAAGCAGTTAGTCTACAAATGGCAGAGGCAATGGTCACTATTGAGAAAGTTCTTCACCCTTTCACATGTATTTACAGTATCATCCCATGGCAATTATAGGATATGAGAGAGGGGAAGATAGAGAGAGAGAATGAATATGAGTGTGTACACAGATTTACCATAGTATGCTATGCCTTTAGCTTATTATAAATGAATGCAGTAGATTTAAAGGCTCTGGTTTAATAGGCATCAAATGTGAAGTTTTTCTTATTGTAAGAGGTTTATGATTATCTGAAAGTGCAGTAGCAAGTACATCCTCTCCTCACTTACAGATGTACTCATTTACTGACAACTCAGAGTTATGACGGGCTCTCCGACGAGTCATTATCATATGCCATATGAGAACTTGGGTCATGGAAATGGGCAGCACAGTATCTCAGCATAAAGCATCTCAGTCTCCTTCCTACAGTCACACAGTACACTAGCTTTTAAAGTCTCCAAGACTGCATTTTGTACACATTTGTACTTTATTGTGCACCCCATAGTAAAAGATAGAGTTAAAAGTGCAGTAGCAGTTGGAAGAGGAAAACAAGAAGAAAATGAAAGTACAAAAGAAGTTCACAGTAAAGGGGTTAGCTGGTGTATTCATCTGTGTGTTTACATTCTCTGTGTCTCTCATGGCAGCTTAAAAAATGATTAAACTCAGTAAACAAAGTATGTTGATGGTAATAATAATAATTAATTAATGATGAAGTAAAGGGTGTGATAAAAGAGAAAAAGTTAGCTTATGAGAGGTTTTTACAAAGCATAAGTGTTATAAGAAGAGTAGAGTATTTTTTTTTTTTTAACAAGTCAGCTGTCTCCCACCAAGGCAGGGTGACCCAAAAAGAAAGAAAATCCCCAAGAAGAAAATATTTTCATCATCATTCATCACTTTCACCTCACTCACACATAATCACTGTTTTTGCAGAGGTGCTCAGAACACAACAGTTTAGAAGCTTATACATATAAAGATACACAACATACCCCTCCAAACCGCTAATATCCTGAACCCCTCCTTTAGAGTGCAGGCATTGTGCTTCCCATTTCCAGGACTCAAGTCTGGCTATATAAAAATAACCGGTTTCCCTGAATCCCTTCACTAAATATTACCCTGTTCACACTCCAACAGATCGTCAGGTCCCAAATACCATTCATCTCCATTCATTCTTATCGAACACGCTCATGCATGCCTGCTGGAAGTCCAAGTCCCTCGCCCACTAAACCTCCCTTACCACTTCCTTCCAACCTTTTCGAGGGCGACCCCTACCCCGCCTTCCTTCCCCTACAGATTTATACGCTCTCCATGTCATTCTACTTTGATCCATGTTCTCTAAATGACCAAACCACCTCAACAACCCCTCTTCAGCCCTCTGACTAATACTTGTATTAACTCCACACCTTCTCCTAATTTCCACACTCCGAATTTTCTGCATAAAAATAATATCTATGGAGGCAAAGAAGGGAATGTATGAAAGTATAGTAGTACCAACACTCTTATATGGGTGTGATGCTTGGGTTGTGAATGCAGCAGCGAGGAGGCGGTTGGAGGCAGTGGAGATGTCCTGTCTAAGGGCAGTGTGTGTTGTAAATATTATGCAGAAAATTCGGAGTGTGGAAATTAGGAGAAGGTGTAGAGTAATAAAAGTATTAGTCAGAGGGCTGAAGAGGGGTTGTTGAGGTGGTTTGGTCATTTAGAGAGAATGAATCAAAGTAAGGGAGGTTTTGTGAGTGAGGGGCTTGGACTTCCAGCAAGCGTGCATGAGCGGGTTCAATAGGAGTGAATGGAGACGAATGGTATTTGGGACCTAATGATCTGTTGGAGTGTGAACAGTGTAATATTTAGTGAAGGGATTCAGGGAAACCGGTTATTTTTATATAGCCGGACTTGAGTCCTGGAAATGGGAAGTACAATGCCTGCACTTTAAAGGAGGGGTTTGGGATATTAGCAGTTTGGAGGGATATGTTGTGTATCTTTATACGTATATGCTTCTAAACTGTTGTGTTCTGAGCACCTCTGCAAAAACAGTGATTATGTGTGAGTGAGGTGAAAGTGTTGAATGATAATGAAAGTATTTTCTTTTTGGGGATTTTCTTTCCTTTTGGGTCACCCTGCCTCAGTGGGAGACAGCCAACTTGTTAAAAAAAAATAATAATAATTAATGATAATAATAATCGCTCTGGAACGCTTTAAATGTCAACTACCAAACCTATATGAAATACGTATGACATTTAAAGCGCTCCAGAGTGAACATACCTTGTTCGATGAGTTTAATCATTTCTTAAGCTGCCACGATACACAGAGAATGTAAACACACAGACGAACACACAAGCTAACCCCTTTACTGTGAACTTTTGTACTTCTTCCATTCTTTGTTCTTCTTCCTCTTCCTCTTTGTACAATAAATACTCACCTCTCACCCTACATTAGGACTACAAATACAGTGGATCCCCGCCTTACGATCAGCTCCCAACTCAAGCAATTATGTAAGTGTATTTTTGTAAGTGCTTTTGTACGTGTATTTTGGGGGGTCTGAAACGGACTAATCTAATTTGCAATATTCCTTATGGGAACAAATTCATTTGGTAACGGCACCCGAACAGACTTCCGGAATGAATTAATATCGTAAGTTGGGGGGTCCACTGTACTATTTTAAAGTAAGTAATGAGTGTACTGTATATGCATTGTATAGCAACAATAAATGCTACTTGCCTCTCACCCTACATTAAGACTACAAATATTTTAAGGTAAGTAATGAGTGTATTGTATGTGTATTTTACTTTTTTATTGTTTTCTGTAATATGTAAGAATTATGCAAATTAAAACAAAGTTATCAAGTTGAAGTTTCCTTTTTATTATTTTCTTTCTAATATACATATATAATTCACCATTTGGCATCATTACAAAGTGGGCAGAGCTAGCTATAGCAGAGAGAGAGAAGTGAGAAGTGACCAGTGTCTCAGTAACACATGATTGCCCATGACACTTGGAGGGGTGTGCCTCTCAGCACTATAAAATATTGTATAATTATACTACAGGTCTCCCTCAACATTCGCGAGGGTTAGGGGATCAAGAGCCTCGCGAATGTTGAAAAACTGTGAATGTTTGGTGCCCTAATATATTGTAGGGAAATATAATACAATACTGCCTCCTTAACTTGTTTAACCATGAACAATCATAAAATACATGAAAACGTCGTAAATTGTACTAAACATATACATGTTATGTTTTACTAACATGTATGTTATTAAATACCACAGACTCCTCCACTGCCTCCATCAATGCCTCCACCACTTCCTCAAACACTGCGAGTCCCTACTACCCTCCCTCCGAGCCCCGCAACTGGCAGCCAGCCCTCCCACCACTCA